ACTAGCTAAATGTAAATTCTTAGTAGCTAAAAGTAGTGAACAACTAGCTAAAATTTGTAAATGCCTAGTAGCTAAAAGTAGTGAACAACTAGCTAAAAGTTGTAAATGCCTACCTAAAAGCAGCAAAAAGAATTTGTTAAGATTAAAATAAATGTTATCTTAAAGTAGCAAAAGGCTAGCTAATAGTAGCAAAAGCAAGTAAAAAGTAACAAAATGCCAGCTACAAATGGTAAAATGATAGCTAAATTTATTGAGCTAGCTAAAAGTTATAAATGGCTTGCTAAATGTAGCAAAAGCTAGCAAATTTCCAAAAGACTAGATAAAATAGCTCAATTGTAACTAAAAGGTGTAAATAATATTAGCTTAAAGTAGCAAAAGATTAGCTTAAAGTAGCAAAATGATAACTAAAAGTAGCAAAAAATAGCAAGAGTAAATAAAATAGCTAAAGTTTAGGTAAAAGTTGTAAATATTACTAGCTAAAAATGGCAAAATGATGGCTGGAAGTAGCAAAAGCTAGAAAAAAAATCAAAATTTTTGCTAAAAGTTATAAATAATATTAGCTAAATTAAAAAAGACTTGATGAATGTAGCTAAATGATATCTAAAAGTAGCAACAGACAATAAAATAATGAACATTTCAATGTTAAAAATATTACTAGCTAAATGAATCAAAATGATAGATGAAGATACCAACATGATATCTAAAAGTAGCAAAAGACTAGCTAAAAGCATCAAAAGTCTAGCTGGACTTTTGTACGGGGACATGTATAGTATAAATCACATGGTCTAAACGTCACAGCACCTGAATGAGCCGAACGTTTTGATATAGGAAAGACTAAAATAGCACAAAGTATGCAGAAGAAGTGAGATTTAAATAAAAACACGGTAAAGTACAAGCAGGAAAGTAGCTCTCGTGAAGGTATTTTTAGATGTTGGTGTCCGGGAGTTGATCTGACATTGTTTTAAGTAACGTTTTCTTCTTCTGATTCATATTTTAGTCGTTTTCACGTGGAGGAGGTTGGCCTTTAAATCAAAGAAACGTGTTTGGGTCCTTTAAAGCCGCCCTGATCGTCAGGGCACTGGATCAGGTCCAACAGGTGTGAAATGTTCTCCACAGCTATTTACTCTGGTGTTTTGTCCTCCTACATTTCATCTTTTGGTTTAACCTGTTGAACTACGGCTTAGTCAGAGAAAACACGACGCAGAGGCTTTCTAAGGATGGTCTCTGTAATGAGATACAGTAAATTCAGATTCATGTCTTTTTATGGTTTGACGCAGCTGTTTTGTGTCTTTTTTTATTTTCTCCCTTCTCTTGTTCTTCTTGTTTATTGGTGGTTTGTTGTTATTTGTTGTCCAAACGGAGCCGCTTCTTGTTTACTGTGTTGATGGACCGACTAACAGATGAGGTCAGGCAGGAATCCCTGTGGACTATGATGTTTGCAGATGACATTGTGATCTGTGGTGAGAACAGGGAACAGGTGGAAGAGAACTTGGAGAGGTGGAGGTATGCACTTGAAAGAAGAGGAATGAAAGTCAGCCGTAGTAAGACAGCGTCCATGTGCGTGAATGAGAGGGAGGAGGTGGAACAGTGAGGCTACAAGGAGCAGAGGTCACAAAGGTGCAGGACTTCAAGGACTTGGGGTCCACTGTCCAGGAACATGGGGAGTGTGGTGAAGAAGTGAAGAAGAGTCCAGGCAGGATGGAGAAAAGTTTCAGGAGTGATTTGAGAGAAAATGGCGTCAGCAAAGGTCAAAGGAAAAGTTTACAAGACAGTGGTGACGAGACCAGCTGTGTTGTATGGTCTGGAGACGGAGACATGGACAAAAAGACAGGAGACAGAACTGGAAGTGGCAGAA